GAGGAGTATTAGAAGGATTCTTCCTAAAGTCCACAATCATCTCCACAGTTTTAAGTGTGTTCAATTCCATATGTATCTTGTTCTGTTGTCCTTTTTATGTTCATCTTTTAAAAAACCCTCTTTTAGTTATTTTGGCTGTAGGAAAATACTGTAGCCTTTTCTAACCTGGAACTATTAGTTGTAGTGGATGGCAACTTCTGCTATCCCCAACTGGATAGCTGATGTAAAGGGACTTGTAGTCTAACACCCCTAGAAGGATCTAGGTTGGGGAAAGCTGGGATAAGGTGCCGCTTGAGAAAATAATTTATTAGGAACAGATGAAAGCTAAGCCAGAACATTTTTTTTAAATCTCTTTTTATTTGACTCTTTTCTAATACTAATATTCATATTAACAGAGTAATTCTATACAATGGATTGGGAATGAGTGACTTTTCAGATGTGACTTAAACATTCATAAATATTCTTGTGATTTAAATATTCCACCTCCTGTGAAAACTAGCCTGGCATGGGTAGTGTTTAAGCATGGGTAGTAGTTAGAATAGATCAGAGTTCAAAACCAGTCATATTTGTGGTACTATAGTTTCCTCATGATGTTCTGTATATTTACTCACACTATCTCCTGTGGCCTCAGGTACTCAAGATTTTCACTTTAGATACATACGTCATTTGGATTTGATATCAAGGTTTCAGATGTTACTCAGAAAATTAATGTTCTTGAATTAATAACCAAACATGTAGCAGTCCCTTTTAGCCAGTAAGGTTGGCTTTGACCCAGTATACATGGGGACATGATTCCTCTCCCAGACATCACATCCTTTGCTTTTTTTAGTTGGTGGAATTGATTTGTGGAAAAGATGCTTCAGCAATGTATCCAGTGCTGTGCCATCTTGAGGATAACCAACCATTTGCTAATGTTCCCTGAGTTTTTTAAAAAATAGGCTTAGGACCTGACAGTGGCATCAGTAAGCTTCTTTTCTTTCTAGGTGGTATAATTCTTAAGACCCCGTGGTTGCTGCTGTTTCATCTGTTTCTCCTTAAGATCTGTTAAGAAAAAAAGACGGGAAAATATAATTCTTTTCATGCATCTCCTTACAGTACTCTCTATTTCGAAACAGCCTCTTCAATTCCTTCCAGCCCTTATACCCGATCCATTAGGAAGTTAGCTGACCTCGCGCTTGTCCGTTTTCTTCCACAGCTTCAATTCTTAATGCGTTAGAAGAACTTGCTGAAACACGGGCTAAGGTCATCCAATATCCGCTAGCGGAGGCTGCGACACGGGGGTCCTGCACTTACCTTCGCTGCAACCGCATCACTCGATTTCTAAGCCGGTTTACTCGCAAAGCTGGAATCGTAAACTGACCCTGAAATGCTACTGGACTCTGTTGGGGTTTCACTCCCGCATTAAAACCGCGCGGGATCTCGTCCGGAGCCTCAGTATCCCCCGCGGAGTTGGGTTTCCTCGGCGAACAGCGGTCCGGCGCCGGAGTTGCTTCCCCGCCGCAGCTGCGGCGGCGCTGGCCCTTTAAGGGCTGGCCCCGCCCCCTTTCCTCTTTTTGCGAATGCTGTGAGATCGAAGCAGACGGGAACGTGCAGGTATGTATTGCATTGGGTAGAGGAGGGGGAGCGCGAGATTCCCGACACCCCAGATCGTTCGCCGGGCCGATCCAGCTCGCCAGGCGGAGGACGTGGAGATCTTTCCCGAGCGGCGCTCTGCGGGCGCTGGGAAACGCGAGCTCTGAAGGAGAGAGGAGCAAGGCCTCGGAAGCCTGGCGAGCGGGTTGGCTTCATCCCCAAACCTTTCCGGCGACGGAGGCTGGTTATTCAGCCAGGCGTGGGAAGCGACCGGACGCTCCGGGCATTAAGTCCGGCTCGCGCTGTCGCCTGCGTTTTTGGTAGGAGGGAGTAGAGACCCTCTTGGGGTCTGAATTGAGACCCTCCCCGGTAAGCTGCAGAACTTGCTTTCAGCTCCAGGGTCACTCCTCGGGTTTTATGAAGTGATCGTGATGCGTGTATACTGCCCACCCCTGGTGGCGGTTCAGTGACTGTTAGGTAACTACAGTTCGCTGGAAAGCACCAGGGCTTAGCAGAGGAGAACGCAGCTTAAATTTGCCACTGATTGAATGTATGCCGGAAAAGGAAATACTGAATACAGCAGTGTTTCTCAACCTTGGGAACTTTAAGATGGGTGGACTTCAACTCCCAGAATT